GAGTAGCGCCGCGGCCTCCCGCGCGGCCTCCGCGCGCGTTTCTTCGCCGGAGCCGGGCGACGCTTCTCCGTCCGTCCGTCCGTCCGTCCGTCTGTCTGTCTGTCTGTCAGCGTCTGTCCGTCCATCCGTCTGTCCGCCCGTCCGTCTGTCTCCGTCTGTCTGTCCATCTGTCTGTCCGTCCGTCCATCTGTCCGTCCGTCCGTCCGTCTGTCTGTCTGTCTGTCAGTGTCTGTCCGTCCATCCGTCTGTCTGCCCGTCCGTCTGTCTCCGTCTGTCTCGTCTGTCCATCCGTCTGTCCTCCCGTCCGTCTGTCTCCGTCTGGCTGTCCATCTGTCTGTCCGTCTGTGTCCATCTGTCTGTCTATCCGTCTGTCTGTTTGTCCGTCCGTCTGTCTGTGTGTCTGTCTGTCCGTCCGTCTGTCTGTCTGTCCGTCTGCCTGTCTGTCTGTGTGTCTGTCCGTCTGCCCGTCTGTCTGTCTGTGTGTCTGTCTGTCCGTCTGTCCTTCTGTGTGTCCATCTGTCTCTCCATCCATCCGTCTGTGTGTCCATCTGTCTGTCCGTCTGTGTCCATCTGTCTGTCTGTCCGTCTGTCTGTCTCTGTCCTGTCTGTCCACCTGTCTCTGTCTACCTGCTCTGTCTGCTCTGTGTCCACCTGTCTGTCTACCTGCTCTGACTGTCTCTGTCCACCTGTCTCTGTCTGTCTGTCTCTATTCGGTCTGTCCACCTCTCGGTCTACCTGCTCTGTCTGCTCTATTTATCTGTGTCCACCTGTCTGTCCACCTGCACTCTCTGTCTCTATCCTGTCTGTCCACCTGCTCTGTCTGTCTGTCTCTATCCTGTCTGTCCACCTGCTCTATCTGTCTGCCTGTCTGTCTCTATCCACCTGCACTGTCTGTCTGTCTCTATTCTGTCTGTCCATCTGCTCTGTCTGCTTGCCTGCTCTATTTGCCAATCTGTCTGCCTGCTCTATTTATCTGTCTGTCTCTATCCACCTGGTTCTGTCTGTCCACCTGCACTGCCTGTCTGTCTGTCAGCCTGGTTTACCTATCTACCTGTCTGTCTCTCTGTCTTTCCACCTGCTCTGTCTGTCTGTCTATCCTGTCTGTCTGCCTGCCCTATCTGTCTGTCATCTGTCTCTGCCTACCTGTTTGTCTGCCTGCCTGCTCTCTCATCCATCTAGCTGTCTGTCTGTCTGTCTGCTCTCTCTCCCTTTCTCTCTCTCTCTCATCTATCTACCTGCCTGCCTGCCTGCTATTTCCTCTCTCTCTCTTCCTCTCTCTCTGTGTCTCTGTCTGTCTCTGTCTGTCTGTCTGTCTGTCTGGCTAGTTCTGGGGCTTGAACTCAGGGCCTGGGTGCTGTCTTTGAGCTTTTTGACTCAAGCCTGGTGCTCTACCACTTGAGCCACAGCGCCACTTCTAGCTCTTTGGTCGGCTCATCGGGGATCAGAATTTCACAGACTCTCCCGCCTGGGCCGGCTTCGCGCGCACATCCATCCTCGCCCAGACCTCAGCTTCCGGAGCAGCTGGGATTATAGGCGTGGGCTAATGTGCCTGTCTCTATCCCAAACTTGAACTCAGGGCCTGGGCTCTGTCCCCTAGCTTCTTCCCTCCAGGCTGGTGCTCTACGCGTGAGCTGCACCTCTGCGTTTGGCTTCTTGGGGTGAGGCACTGGAGATCAGCGGCTCAGGCGCTGGCCTCGACCTGCGATCCTCGGCCCTTAGCCTCCCTTGTAGCTGGGATGGCCGTTGAGAGCCACTGGGCCTGGTTCAGGTCAGGCTTGGGGGTTGCGTTGGCTTCTCCACGCGCGGCCTGTCCCTTCCGTGTCCCTTCGCTGTTCCCTCACACCGAGGCTTCCCGGTGGGTTCTATTTCTTTCTCCGCCAGCGTGGCACGTAGTTTGTCTCCTCTGGGCTACCGTGGACATGGAAGCCGGCCGGCCCCCTCCCCCCGGGAGGGGGAGTCCCCCCGTTGCCTGACCCCCCTCTTCTCCCGCAGTGGTCCCCAGCGCCGCCACCCTCATCATCGTGGTGTGCGTGAGCTTCCTGCTGCTCATGGTCATCCTGGGCCTGGTTCGAATCCACTCCCTCCACTGCCGAGTTTCGGGGGCCGGCGGCCCCCCGGGGGCCTCCAGCGACCCCAAGGACCCTGACCTCTTCTGGGACGACTCTGCCCTCACCATCATCGTCAACCCCATGGAGGTGAGGGGGGGCGGGTCCCCTGGGGAAAAGCGTTTGCCACGCCTGCCATCCCAGCCGCCCGGGAGGCCGGGAGCTGAGGACTGACATTTGAGGCCAGTCCCTATGGGAAAGAACAGGAAACTCGGAGGTCCCAGGCACCAGCAAAAAGCCGGAAGTGGCGCCCTGGCTCAAGTGGTAGAGCGCCAGCCTTGAGCACGAAAGCTCAGGCACAGACAGCGCCCGGGCCCTGAGTTCAAGTCTCAGGACTGAACTCTCTCTCCCAAGAGGACTTGGCAGAAATCTGGGAAGCAGAGAGGCCGGGGGGCAGGCGGGGAGGGGGGGGGCTGGAAGCTTCTGGCAAGCACCCCATCTCTCTCTTTCTGCAGTCGTACCACAACCCTCAGGCGGGCGTGGCGGGGGGCCCGGCGGGCCAGGAGGAGGAGGACAGCAGTGACTCGGAGGCGGCCGACTCCCCCGCGGGGGACGAGCGGCGCATCATCGAGACGCCCCCCCATCGCTACTGAAGCCACTGAGCCCGAGAGGGGACACCGGCCGCCCCCCCAGAGCCCCACCCCAGAGAGGGCCAGAGCGAGCGAGTGAGCGAGCGAGAGCGCGAGCGAGAGGTCTCCACGGCTGTCCACCACGCTCCTAACCATTGGGGTCACCCCTTCCCCGCGCCCCCTCCCCTCCTTGCGCCCATGGGGGGGAGGGGGACACGCTGCCCTCTGGCGCCCCCCGCGGGCCACCCCCAAGGCTGCTGGAGGCCTTCGGCCTGTCAATCCATCACTGTCTTAACTGGCAGCCAAGCTGGGGCAGAGCCGGGATTAAGGCAGTGAGCGACTCTCCTCTCCCCTTCTCTACTCCCCCTCACCCCTTGGTCTGCAGCTCCACTTCACGCTGGAAGTATATCCTGTTATCTTTCCTTTGTTGTCCTTGGGGAGACCCCCCCCACAGCGGGGGGGGCCCCCACCCCGCACCCCTTTCCTCCACGACCAGCTGCTTCTGTGTGGGTGGTGGCGACGGCTCTAGTTGATCATATATAATGTATATTTTTTCAATGTCATCGTGAATGTAGCCCCTGTGTAACTGTGAACAGCTCATGGCCTGGCGTGTGTGTGTATGCGTGTGTGTGTACGTGGGCGTGCGTGGGCGTGCGTGGGTGACCCTGTCATGTCCGGGGTGAGGGTCAGGGGTCGGGTGTGGACACACACCCTTGAGTTTTCAAATAAAACAACCAGAAAATTAACCAAAAAAAAAAAAAAAGCCCCGAGCCAACTTCTTCCTGGGGGTCGGGGGTGGACACAGAGGGAGGGGATTGGGTTTTAGGGGCACAGGCGCCCCTGAGCTGGCTGAGGTGTGGGCTGGGGGAGGGTTGGTTGACTGTGGAGCCCCGGGCAGGTGAATCTCCAGGATACCAGGAAATTGGAAGGTAAGGGGGAAAGGACTGGGCAGGTGGCTCAGTGGTAGAGCGCTTGCCTTGCATGCATGAGGCTCTGGGTTCAAGTCCTCAGCACCACAGAAGCAAAAAAACGGCAGAAGTGGCGCTGTGGCTCAAGTGGTAGAGCGCTAGCCTTGAGCTGAAGAGCTGAGGGACAGCGCCCAGGCCCTGAGTTCAAGTCCCACCACCGATAAAAAGATAAAGCATGGAATAGCTCAGGCTCTTTATGTCTTGCATGTGGGAGAAAAGGTTCTAGGATGTCCTCAAAGCTCAGGGGACCTTCGGTTTTGCCTCTTGCAACCTCTGTAAACCCAGCCTGAGATTAAGGTTCTGGAACTTTCTCAGCCTTTTTTTTTGGGGGGGGCCATCAGTTGTCTGACCCAGGTGTGCCTAAGTCCCAGATAGTAAAGGAGAGGCGTGGACGGTTGGTGTCTTTTCAGAACAGTGAAATGTCGAGTGTTAGTGTGGGCGCTGGTGCGCACGCTTGTAGTCTCAGCTGCTCGAGAGGCTGAGATCTGAGCATCATGGTTTGAAGCCGAGTGTCAGGGCCACTTATGCCCAATTGAATCGGAAACAGCAAATTTCTTTCCCTCTGGCGTCAGGTATTAATTCCTGCCACCTGAGGCTGTTGGTGAACCTTAATTAGCTACTTACAAAGTGCCCAGGACGAGTTGTGCCCTAGGGAGAGTAATCGGTGAGTCAAGAACAAGGCCTACAAGTGGACTTCTTTGCCTTCCGGGCAGGGGGTGCAGAGCAGGACACTGGGGGGGGGAGTGGGGGGTACGTGGGGTGCACTCGGTTGCCTTTGGGCCTGACTATGAAATCTCCATCCTCAGCCTGGAGATCAGGGAAGAGCCGGTGCTACAAGTCACAGCCCTGGCGAGGGTGCCCCCGCCTGTCATCATCAGGAGGATCCCAGTTCAAAGCCAGCCCGGGCAGGAAAGGCCAGGGGGACTCGTAATTCCCATGAGCCAGCCAAAAGCCGGAAGGGAGCCGTGGCTCAAGTGGTAGAGCGCCAACCTTGAGCAGAAAAGTTCAGGGACAGCGCCCAGGCCCCGAGTTCAAGACCCAGGACTGGCAGATGGCGGGGGAGGGAAGAAGGGAGGGAGAGAGAGGAGGAGGAGGCAGGTGTAGCCTCCGAACACAGGTCAGACTGGCAGGAAGGGACCCCGGGATCGGCCGCCAGGCGGGAACCAACGGGACTGGGTGGACCCCGCGGGCACCGTGAGGGGCGTGGCCTAGCGGGAGGCCGCGCTGGGGGCGTGGCTAGACCAGGGGCCCGGAAGCAACAGGGGGTGTGGCCTAGCGGGAGGCCGCACTGGGGGCGTGGCTAGAGCAGGGGCCCGTAAGCCACAGGGGGCGTGGCCTAAGCGAGACGCCCTTATACCATCTGAAGCCTAGGCCTAAAGTGGAGAAGTCCTGTGGCTTGGGGGCGTGGCCTAAGGTAGACCAGTCCTGTGGCTTGGGGGCGTGGCCTAAGGTAGACCAGTCCTGTGGCTTGGGGGTGTGGCCTAAGGTGAAGTCATCATTTGAGGGCATGGCCTAAGGCGGAGCAGTCCTGTCATTTGAGGGCGTGGCCTAAGGTGGACCAGTCCTGTCATTTGGGGGCGTGGCCTAAGGGGAGCAAACCTGAGGCTTGGGGGCGTGGCCTATGCTGGAGGAACTCACGTCATTGGGGCGAGGCCTAAGTGAGAAAGTTACGGCATTCAGGGGCGTGGCCTGGGTGGCGGACGTTGCCTCCGGGGGCGTGGCCTAAAGGAGAGGCAGGGACATGCGAGGGGCGTGGCCCCTTGCTGCGCTTCCGGTCCTCCACTTCCGGGCTGCCAGAAGGCAGCGGCCTCCCGCCCAGCGCGTGCCCAGAGCGAAGTGAAGGAGGCAGGCCCGGACAGCAGACGAGACAGGAGCCACGCGGGCGCCCACGGAGCCCTGTGGGGCGCAGAGGTGAGTTCCGCCGGGAGGACCCCGACATGCCACTGGTGCCGCCCGCGCTCGGGCGCAGCGCTGCGGACAGGACGTGCTCGCCAGGGGGCGTGGCTGACTGGCAGGTGACGGGGGATTGGCAGGTGACGGGTGATTGGCAGGTGACGGGTGATTGGCAGGTCACAGGTGATTGGCAGGTGACAGGTAATTGGCATGTGACGGGTGATTGGCAGGTGACGGGTGATTGGCAGGTGACGGGTGATTGGCAGGTGACGGGTGATTGGCAGGTGACGGGTGATTGGCAGGTGACGGGGGATTGGCAGGTGACGGGTGATTGGCAGGTGGCGGGTGGTTGACAGGTGACGGGTGATTGGCAGGTGACGGGTGGTTGGCAGGTGATTGGCAGGTGACAGGTGATTGGCAGTTGACAGGTAATTGGCATGTGACAGGTGATTGGCAGGTGACGGGTGGTTGACAGGTGACGGGTGATTGGCAGGTCACAGGTGATTGGCAGGTGGCGGGTGGTTGGCAGGTGGCGGGTGGTTGACAGGTGACAGGTGACTCAGAGGTGGTGGCAGAATCTCTGAGGTCATGGGGTTGTGTCCCCCAAGAGGATTGTGGGTGTCTCGCTCCGCCCCCTCCTTCCTCCTTTTACTTCCTAGCCAGAGGAGAGGAGTTTTGATTGGCTGCGAGTGCTTGGCCATTGTCCTCTCCCGGGAGGCCTCAAAAGAAAGGAGTCCGGCCTGGTCATGTACTGGAAGCCAAAGGAAGCTCTTCTTCCTTCTGTTCCTTTGCTCTTCCTTTCTTCCTTTTTCTTTCTCCCCCCCCCACCCTTGTGTGAGTCCTGGGCTGGAACTGAGGCCCTGGCTGCTTCCTCTGACTTTGTCTGGCTCAAGGCTGGTGCTCTACCACTTGAGCCACAGCACCATTCTGGCTTTTTTCTGAGTGGTTCGTTGGAGAGGAGAGCGTCACAGCTTTGACCTGTGATCCTCAGCTGGCAGCCTCCTGAGTAGCTGGGATTACAGGCGTGAGCCACAGTGCCGGGGAAGTTTTAGATAGAAAGTGAACTAAATCACCACACACACACACACACTCACACTCACACTCAATGTCTACACTAAAGTCTGTGCCTCCTAAGCATTATAAACTCCTTTATCCCCCCAAACAGAAACGCTCAAGCTCACGATGGCTGAAGTGCACAGATTTAAAACCAATGAAACCAAGGGACAGGCAAAGTGACTCAGCTGGTCCAGAGCCTGTTTAGCAAGCTTGAGGCCCTGAGTTCAAACCCCACAGCCTGGCCAAATTAAAAAGAAAAAAACAAGTTGTGGGAGTGTGGTTTAGTGGCCCAATACTTGTTCAGCATGAGCCAGAACCCTTTGCCTCGGTCCCTAGCAATGCCAACCAAAACCCAAACCAAAGCAAGAGTCACTGTCATGCGCAAGACATTTGCTCTCTGCCCCTCCACCCCCATAGATGTGTTGAAATCCAAGCCAGGTTCCAGGAGGAGCCTCTGTGACCTGGGTTAGGTCGGGAGGGTGGAAATCTTGCCCAAGATGTTTTATTCCTTGTTCCTTGCCAAGAGAGAGTAGGGGAAGATAAACAACCAAAATCACACACACACACATATATATGTATATACACATATAGGTACACATATGTGCATATACACTTATATATATATATGTGCATCTATTTTATTTATGCATTATATATTGTATACATATATAGGTATATTCTTATTTATGCATATGCATATATAAATATTTATATATGTTTACCTGCCCACCAGGAAGAGGGTTCCTTGTCAGTTCTTGCTACATCCGTCTCTTGTCTTGGTGCCTCAAATTTGCATTTCCTCCACCTCCAAAACTGATTAGCGATCGAGCAGGGAAGCTCTGGGTTCCAATCCTCAGTCCCAGAAAACAAACCAAGACAAAAATGTGATCCGCACATGTGTCAGCCACCCACGCGATGGTGTTCCGTTGTCAGCCAGGACTGAGGAAGACCGCATCCGGCAGCTTTCCATCACTATCACAAACCACCCGAGTTGTTCCATTTAAAAAGATAAAAGGTTATCCGGGCGCTGAAGGCTCCTGCCCTGGCATCCCAGCTCTTCAGGAGGCTGAGATCTGAGGATTGTGGTTCAAGGCCGGCCCAGACAGTGAAGTCCATGAAGCTCTTATCTCCAGTGAACCACCAAAAAGCCAGAAGTAGAGCTGTGGCTCAAGTGCTAGAGCACTAGCCCTGGGTGAAAAAGCTCAGGGACAGCGCCCAGGCCCTGAGTTCAAGACCCAGGACTAGCACAATCTTGTGACTTGCCTCACATTTTTTTTTTGCCAATACCAGAGCTTACCAGGACCTGAATGCTCTTCCTTAGCTTTTTCCCTCAAGACTGGTGTTCTACCACTTGAGCCACACTTCTGCTTTGAGCTTTTTGCTGGTTCATTGGACATCAGAGTCTTATGGACTTTGCTGCCCGGGCTGGCTTTGAACCATGATCCTCAGATCTCGACCTCCTGAGTAGCTGCGATTACAGGTGTGAGCCACCAACACCTAGCTTTAAATCACAATATTGTCACATCCCAAATAAGTTAACAGTATGTATGAATTTAAGATAACCCTGAATTTAATTTTCATGTTTTTAACTTTAAGTTATTTTAGACTGATTTTTTTTTTGGTCGGTCGTGGGGCTTCAACTCAGGGCCTGGGTGCTGTCCCTCAGCTCCTCAGCTCAAGGTGGGCACTCTACCACTTGAGCCACAGCACCACTTACAGTTTTCTGGTGGCTTATCGGAGATAAGAGTCTCATGGACTTTGCTGCCTGGGCTGGCTTTGAACCGTGATCCTCAGATCTCAGCCTCCTGAGTGGCTGGGATGACAGTGCCCACCTGGCGACCGATGATTTTTGAATTGAAAGTAATAGGGCGCTACTCAAAACTGGAAAGCAGTATCATAATATTGAAGACAAATCAATTATCTGAACATGAATCAAGGAATTACATTAGCACGTGCCGGTTATAAGAATGATTTGCCATGTAACAAATCTAGGTCTTCCTTGTCAAGAAATTGCTAGAATGAGAAAAAAAAATCATCAGCTCTATTAAGCCTATGAATGACTGTGGTCTAAAACAGGCATGGAAATTTCCACCAAGTTTGTAAGTGTGACGAATGGCCCGAGGACTTGGAATTGGTTCAAGTGGAATCAGTCAGAGCAAGCAGAAGTGGATTTTTTTTTCTCTTAATTTAAAAAAAAGAAAAAGCCTGGCACTGGTGGCTCACACCTGTAATCCCGGCTACTCAGGAGGCTGAGATGTGAGGATCGCAGTTCAAAGCCAGCTGGGGCAGGAAAAGTCCAGGAGACTCTCATCTCCAATGAACCACCAGAAAACCAGAAGTGGCGCTGTGGCTCAAGTGGTAGAGCGCCAGCCTTGAACAAAAAACCTCTGGGCCTGGGAGTTCTAGCAGCTCATGGCCAGTTCTTCGAGGTGCAGGAGTCTGGGTTCTGTAATTTAGCTACAGTCCCTAACCAGGGGAGGAAGAGGCGGGTAGCATTTAGCTGCCAGTCCTGCTGATAATCTAGCTTTCCTATCAGCAAATAGCAATGTTAGCCTGATTCCCAGGAAGAGAACAAAAAGGGATCAATCTCCAGAATCGGTGAGGCTGGGTATAGGGGTGTACCTGTTCTCCGCCCCCTCAATTCCTTTACTTTAACTTTGGTGCCTTTCTGGGGCTTGAACTCAGGGCCTGGGCGCTGTCCCTGAGCTCTTCAGCTCCAGGCTGGCGCTCTACCACTTGAGCCATGCCTCCACCACCAGGTTTTTTGTTTTTGTAGTTAATTGGGGATAAAAGTTTCAGGGCCTTTCTTACCCAGGCTGGCTTTGAACCGTGATCCTCCGATCTCAGCCTCCTGAGTAGCTGGGATGACAGGCGGGAGCCACCAGGGCCCAGTGCCCTTGAGCAATTTTGCTCAAGGTTACCGCTCGACCATTTTGAGCCACAGTGCCACTTGGTAAGTCCCTAGGAGCCTAAGATCTGAAGACCAAAGGTTCAAAGCCAGCCTGGGTTACAAAAGTCCAGGAGACTCTTCTACCTTCAGTGAATCAGCAAAGAGCCAGAAGTGGCGCTGTGGCTCAAATGGTAGAGCACCAGCCTGGAGCTGAAGAGCTCAGGGACAGTGCCGAGGCCCAGAGTTCAAGCCCATCATTCTGTCTGTCTGTCTGTCTCTCACATACACACACATACAGATACAGAAGTAATATTTGAAACTTAGAACTTTAATAACTAGTAAACAGGCAGTTAGCTTTGCCAGCGTTGGAGGGGCTGCGGGGGCTTCTGTGAAGAATTCTTCCTCTCGGGTAAGTAGTTCCGTCCTCCCTGACACCAGCAGCCGGGTTGCATGGTGGGGTCGTGTCTGGCATTAGAGTGAATTCTGATCTCCTCTGGGTCTGGTTTGAGGCCATGTTAACGTGTGGCCCCTCATCCCGACCTGCTTCCTCAGGCTGTGGCGCACAGCGGGAAGGTGGAAAGTGCGAATGCACCTGAAGGCCAGAGAGCGCAGCGCGGGCTGCCGGCGTGCTGGACGCGGTGCAGAGCGCTGCGCACAGCCCTCACTGCCGGTCAGTTAGCAAACTCCTGGCAGGTGGGAAGGCCGTGCGTGTGTGTCTGTGTGTGTGTGTGTGTCTCTGTGTGTGTTTGTGTATGTGTGTATTTTTGTGTATGAGTGTGTCTGTGTGTATGAGTGTGTGCATGTGTGTCTGTGTGTATGAGTGTGTGCATGTGTGTGTCTGTGTGTATGAGTGTGTGCATGTGTGTGTCTGTGTGTATGAGTGTGTGCATGTGTGTGTCTGTGTATTTGTGTGTCTCTGTGTTTCTGTGTGTGTCTGTGTGTATGAGTGTGTGCATGTGTGTGTCTGTGTGTATGAGTGTGTGCATGTGTGTCTGTGTGTATGAGTGTGTGCATGTGTGTCTGTGTGTATGAGTGTGTGCATGTGTGTCTGTGTGTATGAGTGTGTGCATGTGTGTGTCTCTGTGTGTCTGTGTGTATGAGTGTGTGCATGTGTGTGTTTGTGTATTTGTGTGTCTCTGTGTGTTTCTGTGTCTGTGTGTGAGTGTGTGCACGTGTGTCTGTGTGTATGAGTGTGTGCATGTGTATTTCTGTGTGTATGAGTGTGTGCATGTGTGTCTGTGTGTATGTGTGCATGTGTGTGTGTCTGTGTATGTGTGTGTGCATGTGTGTGTCTGTGTATTTGTGTCTCTGTGTGTTTGTGTCTGTGTGCATGTGTGTATGAGTGTGCATGTGTGTATGAGTGTGTATTTGTGTGTCTGTGTATGAGTGTGTGTCTGTATGTGTGTATGAGTGTGTGCATGTGTGTCTGTGTGTGTATTTGTGTGTTGTTTGTGTGTCAGTGTGTCTGTCTGTGTATATTTGTGTGTCTGTGTGTATGAGTGTCTGTGTGTTTCTATGTGTGTGTGTATGAGTGTATGTGTGCATGTGTGTGCATGTTTCTGTGTGTGTCTGTGTGCATGTGTGTGTGTGTGTGTGTATGAGTGTGTGCATGTGTGTGTTTGTGTGTGTCTGTGTGTGTGTGTGTGTCTGTGTCTGTGTCTGTCTGTCTGTCTGTCTGCGATACCGGGTCACAGTCTCCGTCTGCAGGGTTGGGGTTTCTCTGCATCTGATTGAGGACAGGATCCTCCTTTCTCTCTCCCCCTCTCAGTGAGCCCGGGACCCCTGACGGCTGTGAGCTGAGGACGGGGGGGGGGCGGGCTCCGGTCTCCATGGAGACGGGGGGGGGCGGCGCCCGGG